ACTCTCAGAGTGATGTCAGGCATGTGGGGTAGTGACAGTGACTTATGTCAAGTAACTGGTAAGAAGGCTGTTTTTGTGGTCCAACCAACAGGGAGTGAAGCTGTGCATCTGGAGAAAGGCAAGCAGCATAGAAATGAGGATTGAAAAGGATTTTTTTAATCCAGCCTAGATAAATGAGGACATTAGTTTAAGACAATCAGATTGAAAGACATCTACAAAAAATAGATTACAGTCAGTATCAAACATTCATAAGTCATCTTGTTTACGCCTTCAAAAAATACTGACCAAACACTTATATATAGTTTGATGCACGCTAGAGACACAAAGATAAGCACAATAAATAAGATGCAAACCTGCTCTTAGAGGTCCATTTTTAGCAGGAGAATCAGAATTAGGCAGAAATGATTATTAAAAGATTCATAATGTTGCAATTAACAAGTGCATCACAGAATAAGAGTGCACTTAATGTTTTAGAGAACATTTATATAGAAACATAAGGAATAAACAATCCATTTGGAAATGGTAGTTATTTCTTTCACAGTTTTCTATAAATTATGGAATGTTTTCATGCATTTCTTTACAGTCCATTCTCTTAGAAGAGAAGTGATGGGCAGGAAGATATTATTGGTCATAATTGACAGAGAGTGGCATACAACACCAATAGTGAAATTAAATCCACAGAAGCACAGAAGTCTTCCCAGAATATTATTTGCAAAAATCACTATGTCGTGAATCAAATGTCTCTTTAAATTGCTTTCTCCTATTATTGTATAGAGTATTCCTACTTAATGAGATGACCAGCAAAGGAGATTTGGGGAACTTTATTCCAAATGCCAAAACTACATTCCACTTTGATAAAACATTAGCAAGAATCTTTGAAATGGCAAAACATTTGCAAGACATTGTTGTCAGATATCCCTTAAAGGAACAGTGTGAATAGACAGTAAGAGAGTCTTGAATCAGATTGTCAATGCCACTTTCACTATTAAGTTTCCACCAATATGTCCCTTATTTTGCAGTCACTTTTCCATGTTAAGATTGATGTCTATGTTTGAAATTAACTCTTTATAAATGTTAATCTCACACTGTCTTTTGTCTGTCACTCATAATCAGAGCCAATAATTCTTCCTATATAAATCATATATAAAGATTTAAAGATTAACCAACTCAACACACAAGTTAATAAAACAAATTTGCCCCAAAACAATCACAATACAATCCAAATTGAAAGAGAAATAACACTCATTGTCTGCCAGAATGAAATAGCCATTGGTTTAGACAATCTCTTATTGAATCTACATCTGTCCATTCAAGATCTGACCACATTGTTTCTCCATGTCCACATGGAGATCTTTCTTGCTAGAGTATATGTTTTAGAACATGTTTCACCTTTATGTCTAGAGAAATCCCTGGTATAGAGTAGGCTTTCAGTAATTGTATGAGGGATGACTGATTGATTTCCCAAAAGAATTTACGAATTATTTTCTATCTTATTATTTTGTGTTGGGACGATGTTCTTTTATTTATATTTGTTATTCAATTTTTGGATTAGCATAAAACACAATTTGATAGTCTTTTTTTTTTGAGAGAGAGAGAGAGAGAGAGAGAGAGAGAGAGAGAGAGAGAGAAAGAGAGAGAACTTTTTTAATATTTATTTTTTAGTTTTCAGCGGACACAACATCTTTATGTGGTGCTGAGGATCGAACCCAGCGCCCCGTCCTTGCCTGGCCAGCGCGCTACTGCTTGAGCCACATCTCCAGCCCCTGATAGTCTTTTTTAATGTTATATTTTAATTGAAAGTTAAAAATATAAAAAATAAATACTTATTAGATCTTTTCAATCTAAATAAATGAACAATACGTTGGTATGTTCTTAAATTAATGAGGTTTTTTTGTGTGTTTCAGAACTTTTGTTTGTTTGCTTAATATGGTCCTAAGGATTGAACCCAGTGCCTTGCATGTGCTAGGCAAGTGCTCTGCCACTGAGCTACAACCCCAGCCCAAATTAATGAGTTGTTTAAAAGGATATTAGTTAACCTGGACACCTGCAAATTCCTGTCATATTTTTTCAAACAGGAAGAAAAAGGTTGCCAATTATAAGCTTGAAGATATGTAATAAAAAAATAATAACCTAGAGAAAAATATATGACAGCAAGAAGAAAATGGATCAGTAACTAAGTCTCCAGAAACAATATAATTATCCAGGAATCCTTTTCCACTGTTCAACCATTTGTTCAACTGTATTGTCCCTGATGTTCTCTGAAGGATAATTAGGTAAATACTTGGCATCCTCAAAATAATAATAAAAAAGTATTTTTCCCCTCAGAGAAAATAAACAATCTAATAAGGGAAAGAATAAATAAAAGAACAGTCACACCAGATCTAAAGGGAGAATGAACATAAAAGAAAGCAAATGATATAATTAAATAAGATGTCAGTATATAAATGGGTGAAAAAACTAACTGTACTTTAACCTACAAATAAGACCAAATGGCCAAGATGATTTGGACTGTCTCTTCATAATCTGTTATTTACACTGAAAATAATGTCACATGAAATGTTGTCATTTGTGTTTGAAGACAGTGCTGTGACTCATCAGTAACAGATCTACAAAATTGCTTTGTTTTAGGAGTAGGAAAGGGTTGGCAATAAATTTGTTCACACTCTCTCAACCGATCCCCTTGTGAGCAATAGTGTACATTGGCAAGTTGAAGTTACAGCTGCAGTCAGTCGGTGAGCCTAAAATAAAACAAAACCAAAATCCAGGGAGTGTAAGATCAATCAGATTGTAATTAGTGCACAGGGGAAACTGAATGCTTAAACCTGACGTTAGCACTGAGCTCGGACCAACTAAGCTAAACCATTCCTACAATGACATATAACACATCTATATTTAATCTCATTTTTCCATTTTAAAATACCTTGATGGATTTCAGAAAATGTCCCCAATTCCTGCTTAACATGCTGCTTTTGCCATGTGCATTATGAATAGAATATGAGACATCACTCAATACTATAATTAAGAAAATAAAGGAAAGAATGCTTGATAAGTATCAATGTTTACTGGTAGAAAAAGTCAGCTCACATAATATTCTGAGAAGTCAGCTCACGTGGACCAGCCTTATGGCTGACAGGTGAGTATGATATCTGCACAAAGTAAATAAATTATGAAGGAATCATTAAATTTTTTGACTGAATAGCTTTGCTGGTATATTGTAGAAAAGTGTGTTTAAATGGTAAAGACAGGCTTTGGCCAGGGTTTGAACATCAAGTATCATTGACATAGAAGCCACCTGTGTTAGGTGGTGTACCAGTTTCTCCAGTAACATACTGGACTCCATCCTAGCAATAGGATTATATGGTAGTTCTTGTCTTCATTTTCTAAACAACAAACTTGTCTTCATTTTCTAAACAACAAACTAAATATAGGGGGAAAACACTTTTTTCAGGGTCAAAGATAGCAAAAGCTTTAGAATTTGGCTACAAAGACTGAAGTTTATAATATTTTTATTTAAAATAAAAGTAATGAAAATATAAACAAACAACTTGGATAGAATTCATATACTTTGCATTATTTATATTAATCAATAGGTACAACTACTTGACCTGAAAACTCAGTTGGAAGAACATGGATTTGCATCTGGCCACACTTTGTAACCAAGAGTTTTAAACACACAGGACATACTAATAAAATATTCTATTTCTTCAATTACTTTAGCTTAATCTTAAAGACTTTACTAAATGGGCAGATTTTATGGTTAGTTTTCAGTTTTCCAGTGATTCTATTTCTATTTTTTGTTGTTGTTTTTGTTTTTTTTTTTTTTTGGTACTGGGTATTAAACCCAGGGGTGTTTTACCACTGAGCCACATCCTTAATCCTCAGCCATTTTATTTTCTTTTTGATTTTTATTTCAAGGCAGGGTTTCACCAAGTTGTTTGGGGCCACCCTGAGTAACTGAGGCTGGCCTCAGACTTGAGATCCTTCTGCTTTAGACTTCCTGAGTTGCTGAGTTTACAGCCCTGTGCCACCATGCCCAGCTAATAATATTTTAAGAGATGGTTATAACCCACAAAGTAAATAGCTACTAGGCCAAAACTAACATCATTTCTTTCATTAATTTAGTCAAAATATTTTAAAATTTCACTCTCAATGTGACCTATGAAGATCCCTATAAATATCAATAGTCCAGTTTTCACTGGGTTAAACTATACTCCAAGACCAATCAGAGAACTCCTAATTTTCAATACTGTATAGGGTTTCTCTGAACAGTTTGGGGAACATTGTTTTATTTAAAAATTGGCTGCAAACTAGAAAGAGGAAAGCTATATACATACTTTCAATCATTTACATAAATGTATGTAAATGAATCACAGCGAAAAAATAATTTCAAAAGACTATTGGAAGGTTAGCTTCAAGACACCTCCTTAATCTTCCCATTACTTTCTAGGAATTCAATCTTATTATTTTCCATGTTGTTTTGTGATGGTCTTTTCCCCCAACCAGAGTAAGAGCTTTGTAAGGACAGAGATTCCACCTTGCTCTCTAGGACTATCTCAGTGCCTATCACAGTTGTCATTCACTGGAGTAAATATGTATTTGTTGAATAAATAAAAGATGGAATTACGTAATGGTATCATAAGTTATAATCCTGTCTGTATCCTGGATAGATCTGGTTTCTTCCTATATACCCCTGAAGGCTTGAAAATACATCTTTAGTTCTTCTAGGCACAAATTTTATAGAAGAAAGTTATATTTAATCATGTATAGATGAAAAAGAATTATTACTCAAAAGCAACAGGTGCCACCTATAGTGCTCATGACAGCAGATGGAAGGAATTGATTTCCTTGAATTCTAAGCTATTGTTGCATGCGGGTCCTTGGACAATCGTACAAAGCTGATAAAGTTTGTATTTTGAGATGACCCTCAAACTCCATTTTATTTATTTATTTATTTACTTACTTACTTAATTACTTTTTTGACCTGTTGCCTCTGTTCCCAGGCATCCAGAGCCTTTGGTATGTGCTCTGACTGTAAAAACTGATGATGTGGGGAAAGCTTTAAGCTTTGCCTTCACTCAAGCCAGGTAACAGGTAACTAGCGTAGTAGGTCTGAACTGATTTCTCTATACTTAATTCCTTTTATTGTAAATTTGGAATAATAGTGATTCTTCTCTGAGAGGAATAATGTAGGCTCAATAAACTATACACATTAAACAGATAATTGACATTGCTTAAAAGAGCCTTAAAATTAGGGAACTTCCAAGGCCCTTCCTGTCCTGAAGTATCTCTGAACCAATCAACCTTGTTCAGACTCCCACCTCTCCTTGTAACCACTGGGACAGAAAAATTCAATTACTACGTAAATTATTCACTTTAGAGAAAAAAAAGTCTGATATGCATAAAACCACCTTAGTATGTTTACTTTTCTAAAGAGAGAATTATGAATCCACTAATTCTGGAGGCTGGTTTGGACAAGTTGAGTCCTTCTTTTCTCCAAACAGACCGCTAATTTCCAGTCTAAGAAACAAGGGCTCAGAAAGGTAGTATCCTAGAAAGAATGAGCCATCCTTCTCAATTTTAAGCTTCTAAGACAGAAAGGATGGTATCTTAATCTCCTTAAATTTGCTAGTCTGAAAGTTTAATTAAGAGGAACCAAGACACTAAAATAGTTTCATATTAAATATATAGAATATTTTGGACTTAACTACTAAATGACTTACGTTTCCATAGTGATTGTTAAAATTATATTTATAAAAGAAGCCAAGTGTAACAGTTCTAAAAAGGCATACTCTAAGAGGTAAAATTAAAATTAGGGGAAATGAGACCATTTATAATGGGCCATTATGACTCTGAATAACTATCATTATTGGTTCTGCTTAATAAAACTGTCATCTAACACAAAATAGATATTAAGCTAAATTACATTACATTATCATTCTATCATGCTACAAAATTCAAAGCAAAGCTTTCAAAAATAAATCCACATGAAAACAGACCAATATTAACCTTTTCTACCTATTTCTAAATAGCTTTAATTAAAAGAAAAGCATGTGAAGAAGAAAAAAAAAAGTATGCTGCAAAATGCTGTCTTTCACTAGAGCAAATGACCAGATGTTTATTATTTACATGTTTTTTGAATTATTGTAACTTTGATATGATAATTAATAATAATAAGCTGGGATCAGGCTTCTAGGAACTTTTCTCCTATTATTCAAGTTTTGCTTCCTTGTTGCAAAGCTCTCCCTTCCTGCCAAGCTCCACTGATCTTTGTGCTAAGTCACCCAGAGGAATCTTTTATTTATCTGTCTAACTGCCACTTCTATATGATTGCACTTAGGATTTCTCTCAAGGGTGCTTTTCAGAGTCCTAGAATCAAAATCACTTTTGAATCAATATCATCTACTTTATGTGATTTCCATGTTTTGAAAATACAGATGTGTAGATCTTTCCCTAGACCTATTGAATCAGAAGCTCTATGTTGTGTTTTAATGTTCATCAGAGGTGTGTTTTTGTATCTCTGGTTTCAGAATCACTGTACTCGGACTATCAGTAGTTTGTAAAGATAACTACTAATGATAAGGTCTACTATTGCTAAGTTTAACATTTACCTGCTTTAAATTTATTAATTATTGAAAACATTTATTAAAAATATATCATGTGCCAGGGTGTTTTCTACATAGTAGAGCTAAGAAGATAATAAAATGTCCTTTCTCTCATGAATTTTATAATCTGGTTACTGGGGTTTCTTCTCTGTAATTACTGTCTCAGTATTATAGCACTATTTATTCAAAATAATATATAATTTGATGTTCCCTGCTTCCAAAGCACAAAGCAAAAAAAAAATTTTTTTTCAATAGTCTAATAAAATATAGTCACTGAAATAAAGTAACAATATAAAGTGTATAAATTAGACATAGATGAAGAGAAAATGAATGCATTGGAAAACTGAACCTTGAAAAATGAAGCACAGAGAATAAAAGAAAGAAAAACTTTAAAGGGAATTTCAAAGGCAGAGAGGGGAAAAAAAATCAAGAAACTCTGATCTAACCTAGTAAGAATTCTAGTAAGAAACAATAATGTCGAAGGAAATCTTTGAAATGATGGTTGAAAATTTTCCTTAACCAAAGAAAACAATGAGTCTTCATACTGAAAAAGTTAGATAAATAAAATGAAACCAATTATAGTTGGCTTTGTAGTGAAATTACAAATCATCAAGGGCAAAGGGAAATTTTCAGAATCAAAGAGAGATAAAAGCTTATCTCTAAAGGCACAAGGAGGCCGATAACAATTCTCATCACCATTAAGAAAGACCAGAAGAGAGTGAAAAAATAATTTCAATGTACAGGATAAATATATCTGAGTTAAACATTTAAGAGAAAGGGTGTAACAAAGAAGTTCAAACATGTACAATGTCACAGTTCCCTATCTTCACTTGAAAGAAATACTGAAGCACATATTTTGTTAATAAATAAATAAATCAAGAAAGAGGACCGTGATTCAAGAAGTGAGCAAATAAATTAATAAAATATATTGTTAAATATAACCTGAGTTTTGAGTATAAATGACAATTGTATTACAAACACTATTCTCTATTGTTTAAATAAAACTACAACTAAGATATAGAGAATGAGAATTTTTCTTGACAAGAGATTTATAAAAATGCATTGTCAACAAGCAATCTATTTTATAGTTAAAATTAATTTGGGGAGATATCAAGAGACACTTGGATTAACATTAAACTTGTAATCAAAGTCAGCGTATTTTCACTCTATATCATCAATTTAATACCAATTTAAATGCTCTTGATATAAAAACATATTTTATTTCCCCTAGAACATTTCCTAGTTTCCCTTAAAAGGATTGTTCTTTTTAAATAGCAAATTTGTTATATAATTTTGAACAGGTAAGATATGTAATTGCTAAATGATTAGCTCTTCACAAAGAATGAAGGTCTTTATCTTAGAAATTACTTTAGTTATTAAAGAGATCCTGCTTTTTCAAGGTATGGATATTAGCAACTATTACAGTGGTATTGACAAAGAGAAGCAAGCATATGTGGCAGGAAAAGAGCAACCTGTTTATTATATAATGTAGCAGATTTCCTGTGGAGTTGGATTGGTGTACAGCAGATCAATAACTTTCACTTATATTGTAGCTATTCTTAAAAACTTCATATGGGCTTTCAATTTTTTCACTTTTTAGTAGTATTGGGTTTTCCCTGAAGAGAAAAATAAAAACACCTTTGGAGTAACCCAATGCCTGCTAAAAGTCAAGGAGGTAAACTTTTTTTTTTCTAAGAGATATTTGGACTGCTTTCCAAGAGTATTTTCAATGAAACAAGGAAATAATTATGACATTTCATATTTAATGAAAAATTCAAAGGATAAGTTCATAACAATCTCAGCTCAGTGTTAGTCTGTATATCAAAAATACCATTGCATTACTCACCTCCTTACATGGTGAACATTCCCTAACAGTAATCAAAATTTGGTTGGTTCGTGCAATCAGGAAAAATAGCTATTCAGGTCACTAAACAAAGCAAAACAAAACAAAACAAAAAATCAATTAATCAAACCATTTTGGTATAGAAAGGCTCTTTGAATCGTTACATCTGTGGGGTGGGAAAATTAACCACTTGATTGATTAAAGTTTTCTTCTTGCTAATAGTTACATAAATACAGCTCTTGGTCTTTTTTCCCTAGATTTATTTTCTTACTACATTTCCATATAATTAAGAAAATGATCCCTAATTTTCTTCTCCACAATTCATTGGTGCATTCTTTCTTCTCTTAGACTCCCTAACCTGGTGTGCATGATAAGCAGGTATGACAACACAATTTCCATTCCTAAGGGCAAGTTATGGTTAAGAACAGGAAAATTGGAGAGTCTCTTTACTTCTCATGCTATGGTATCTGAGGATCTTTTTTTCTGTACAATGAAAATTAATGCACTAAATGTACCAACACAATTAAAAGAAAAAAAAATGCTGTGGAAAAGTACAAACATTGTACACATAAAATGTTCAGAAACAAAAACAAATAGTCTTCTTTACCCAACTCTGAAGGAAAGGGCTACTATAGATACTAGGGTGGTAGACAATCCTCTTGCAGTAATCCAAACACATCAAGTACTGTATCTAAGATAATGCATGATAAAGAAAAAGAATCTGCAAAAAAAGGGAGAGAGAGAGAGAGAGAGAGAGAGAGAGAGAGAGAGAGAGAGAGAGAAGTACTCCAGAAAAGAAAAAAGAAATGATGATTTGGGGAAATTTGAATGTGTTAGGATTTTAAGTGGAGCTAAGAAATGAATGGAAAGAGAATTACTGAGAAATAAGAAAAGATAAAATAGTTAAGAAAAAGAGGGGAGGGAGCTTGTGGTGGTGAAGAAGGCACTGATCAGAACTTTTGTTTTTGTTTTTAATTGTTTCCATTCATCAAACCTCTGTATCCCTTACTGTTAAAAATAATGATTGGCACAAACCTTGAAAAGCCATTTTCTTTAGATTTGAAAACAGCACAGTGTCCAGTTTTATTACTTCCTTGTTAAACCCTGCATCTCTGCACTTTGAGTTCTAATAGGAGCCCAAGATCATGGTCTGCCATGCTCACAATTAAAAAATAAAATTTCAGATACTATACGAACTCGGTGGCACAAATATTTGCTGGCAAAAAGTTAACCATATAACATGCAAATAAACAGGAAGTCTGAAGAGTATTCTAAATGCAATTATAAGATGGATTCTATATGAATTAAAAAGAGGAAGGTTTTATCACCTGCACTTTATATCTAACGAGGCACGTTTATATTTATCGTAACATCTATTATCACATTGAGAAAACAAAGGAAAAGAGGTTAGATTTTTAAGCAGCATGAATTTAATGAAACATAAGGAACATTTTAAAATAATATGGATTGTTAATTTACTTTGGGTGACTTAAAGATGGCTCCTTTTGGAAACATAGTTTTGAACAATCAACCAAGTTAGGTCAACATCAATCCTGTAATTCTGCTTTAGAAAGGACCTCAGATGTTTTTATTAAATAACAAATTTTCATGACAATTACATCAGACTTAGCAAAAACAA